GATTCGGGGGGATTTCCTGTTATTTTGGGGTCGTTCTTGGGAATTTTCCGTTGTTTTGGGGTCGTTCCTTGGAGTTTTGGGGGAATTTCCCGTGATTTTGGGGTCATTCCTGGGAATTTTGGGTCAGTTTGGGGTTGTTCCTGGGAGTTTTGGGTCGGTTTGGGGTCGTTCCTGGGAATTTTGGGGGGATTTCCTGTTATTTTGGGGTCATTCCTGGGAATTTTGGGTCGGTTTGGGGTCGTTCCTGGGAGATTTGGGGGGATTTCCTGTTGTTTTGGGGTCGTTCCCGGGAATTTTGGGTCGGTTTGGGGTCATTCCTGGGAATTCCAGGTGGGTTTGGGTCATTCCCAGGAATTCCAGGTCCATTTCCCGTTGATTTGGGGCCATTCCCGGGAATTTTGGGTCAGTTTTGGGTCATTCCCAGGAATTTTGGGTCAGTTTTGGGCCATTCCCAGGAATTTTGGGTCAGTTTTGGGGTCATTCCCAGGAATTTTGGGTCAGGTTTGGGGTCATTCCCAGGAATTTCGGGTCAGTTTGGGGTCATTCCCAGGAATTTTGGGTCAGTTTGGGGTCATTCCCAGGAATTTTGGGTCAGTTTTGGGGCCATTCCCAGGAATTTTGGGTCAGTTTGGGGTCATTCCCAGGAATTCCGGGTCCATTTCCCACCGCTCCGGGCCGGATCCTTTTGCCATTCCCGCCCATCCCGGGGACGATTTGGGGCGATTCCCGCGGGAATTCCCGGAATTCCGCCCCGGATTCCCGACTCACGTCGTCGTAGACCTTGGTGGAGGATTCCACGTAGGTGGATTTGTCCTTGAGGCTCAGCCGGGGGAAGATCCCGGCCACTTTCTGCTGCCGCTCCAGCTGCCCCAAACAGCCGCAAAATCCCAAATTTATCCATGGGAAAATGGGAAAATCCCAAATTTATCCACGGGAAAATCCCAAATTTACCCATGGGAAACGGGAAAATCCCAAATTTATCCACGGAAAAATGGGAAAATCCCAAATTTATCCATGGAAAACGGGAAAATCCCAAATTTATCCATGGGGAAACGGGAAAATCCCAAATTTATCCATGGGAAAATCCCCAATTTATCCATGGGAAAATGGGAAAATCCCAAATTTATCCATGGGAAAACGGGAAAATCCCCAATATATCCATGGGAAACGGGAAAATCCCAAATTTATCCATGGGAAAACGGGAAAATCCCAAATTTATCCACGGGAAAATCCCCAATTTATCCATGGGAAAACGGGAAAATCCCAAATTTATCCATGGGAAAACGGGAAAATCCCAAATTTATCCATGGGGAAACGGGAAAATCCCAAATTTACCCACGGGAAAACGGGAAAATCCCCAATTTATCCACAGGAAAATCCCAAATTTATCCATGGGAAAATGGGAAAATCCCAAATTTCCCCCATGGGAAAATTCTAATTTAACTCTTTGGGAAAAATCCCAATTCAACCTCAAAAAACCAATTCAACCCCAAAAATTCCCAATTCAACCCCAAAAAATCCCAATTTATCTGGGAAAAATCCCAATTCAACCCCAAAAATCCCAATTTTTCTGGGAAAATCCCAATTTAACCCCAAAAAATCCCAATTTTTCTGGGAAAATCCCAATTTAACCCCAAAAAAATCCCAATTCAACCCCGAAAAATCCCACTTTTTCTGGGAAAAGCCCCGATTTAACCCCCAAAATCCCACTTTTTCCGGGAAAAGCCCCGATTTAACCCCTCAAACCCCATCCCCAGCCCCTGCGGAGCCCCCCATTCCCGAATTCCCGTTTTTTCCCCGTTTTTCCCCCGGCTCACCCGCACGTCCATGACCTTGGTGATCTTCCAGAGGTCGATGAGGAGCCCCACCAGGACGCTGAGCTGAACAACCACGTTGGTCTCGTTGTCCAGGATGTACAGGAGCACCACCAGGGACTGGAACACCCCGAAAAACACCGAGCGCACCGAGAGGCCCTCCAGGGACTGCCGGCTGTTCCAGAACTGGATGTCTGCCGGGAAAAATCCCATTGGGAATGGTGGGAATGGGAATGGTGGGAATGGGGATTTGGGGTCTTTAAAGTGAAAAAATCCCACTGGGAATGGTGGGAATGGGGATTTGGGGGGAAAAATCCCATTGGGAATGGTGGGAATGGGGATTTGGGGGGAAAAATCCCATTGGGAATGGTGGGAATGGGAATTTGGGGTCTTTAAAGTGGAAAAATCCCATTGGGAATGGGTGAAAATGGGAATTTGGGGTCTTTAAAGTGGAAAAATCCCACTGGGAATGGTGGGAATGGGGATTTGGGGGGAAAAATCCCATTGGGAATGGCGGGAAATGGGAATTTGGGGTTTGGGAATGGAGGGAATGGGTGGGAAATGGGGATTTTGGGGAGCAGAACCACCAGGGACTGGAACACCCCGAAAAACACCGAGCGCACCGAGAGGCCCTCCAGGGACTGCCGGCTGTTCCAGAACTGGATGTCTGCCGGGAAAATCCCATTGGGAATGGTGGGAATGGGGATTTGGGGGGGAAAATCCCATTGGGAATGGTGGGAAATGGGAATTTGGGGTCTTTAAAGTGAAAAAATCCCATTGGGAATGGTGGGAAATGGGGATTTGGGGGGAAAAATCCCATTGGGAATGGAGAAAATGGGGATTTTTGGGGTCTTTAAAGTGGAAAAATCCCACTGGGAATGGGTGAAAAGGGTGGGAAATGGGGATTTGGGGGTAAAAATCCCACTGGGAATGATGGGAACGGGAATTTTTGGGGTCTTTAAAGTGGAAAAATCCCATTGGGAATGGTGGGAAATGGGGATTTGGGTTTGGGAATGGAGAGAATGGGTGGGAAATGGGGATTGGGGGGAAAATCCCACTGGGAATGGCGGGAATGGGAATTTTTGGGGTCTTTAAAGTGAAAAAATCCCATTGGGAATGGAAGAAAAACGGGGAATTCAGGGAAAAAATCCCACTGGGAATGGCAGGAAATGGGGATTTGGAGCTAAAATCCCAGTGGGAATGGTGGGAAATGGGGATTTGGAGCTAAAATCCCCCTGGGAATGGCGGGAAATGGGGATTTGGCGGGAAAATCCCATTGGGAATGGCGGGAAATGGGGATTTGGGGGGAAAATCCCAGTGGGAATGGCGGGAAATGGGGATTTGGGGGGAAAAATCCCCCTGGGAATGGCGGGAAAAGGGAATTGCGGGATGGAATTCCCGGGAAAAGGGGGAAATCCGGGAATTGTCACCGTTTTTGAAGGCCAGGAACTCGAAGACGCTGTGGACGATGGAGACGACGATGGTGAGAGCCAGGAGGTACGGATTGGTCTCCAGGAGAGCCACCTGGAAAAGGGGAAAATCCGGGAGAAATCCGGGAAAAAAAACGGGAAAAAGCGGGAAAAAACCCAGCGGGAATGGGGAAAAAATCAGAAAAAAAATGGGGAAAAATGGGGGGAAAAACGGGGAAAAATCAGAAAAAAAATGGGGAAAAATCTGGGAAAAAATGGGGGAAAATCAGAAAAAAACTGGGAAAAAAATCAAAAAATATCTGAAAAAAATCAGAATAAAATGGGGAAAAATCAGAATAAAATGGGGGAAAAATGGGGAAAAAAAATCATAAAAAATCCGCGAAAAATCATAAAAAAATGGGGAAAAAATCATAAAAAATCCGTGAAAAATCATAAAAAAATGGGGAAAAATCAGAATAAAATGGGGAAAAAATTATAAAAAAATGGGGAAAAATCATAAAAAAATGGGGAAAAATCAGAATAAAAAGGGGAAAAATGCTAGAAAAATGGGGAAAAATCATAAAAAATGGGGAAAAATCATTAAAAAATGGGGAAAAATCAAAATAAATTGGGGAAAAAATCCTAAAAAAATGGGGAAAATTCCTAAAAAAATGGGGAAAAATCAGAATAAAAGGGGGAAAAGTCATAAAAAAATGGGGAAAAATCAGAATAAAAGGGGGAAGAAATCACAAAAAAATGGGGAAAAATCAGAATAAAATGGGGAAAAATCAGAATAAATGGGGGAAAAAATCATAGAAAAATGGGGAAAAATCATTAAAAAATGGGGAAAAATCATAAAAAAATGGGGAAAAATCAGAATAAAATGGGGAAAAATCATAAAAAAATGGGGGAAAATCAGAATAAAATGGGGAAAAAAATCACAAAAAAATGGGGGAAAATCAGAATAAATTGGGGAAAAATCCTAAAAAAATGGGGAAAAATCCTAAAAAAACGGGGAAAAATCATAAAAAAATGGGGAAAAATCATAAAAAAATGGGGAAAAATCATTAAAAAATGGGGAAAAATCATAAAAAAATGGGGAAAAATCAGAATAAAATGGGGAAAAAATTATAGAAAAATGGAGAAAAATCAGAATAAAATGGGGGAAAAAAATAATAAAAAAATGGGGAAAAATCATAAAAAAATGGGGAAAAATCAGAATAAAAGGGGGAAAAAATCCTAAAAAAATGGGGAAAATTCCTAAAAAAATGGGGAAAAATCAGAATAAAAGGGGGAAAAGTCATAAAAAAATGGGGAAAAATCAGAATAAAAGGGGATAAAATCATAAAAAAATGGGGAAAAATCAGAATAAAATGGGGGGAAAAAATCACAAAAAAATGGGGAAAATCAGAATAAAATGGGGAAAAATCAGAATAAAATGGGGAAAAATCATAAAAAAATGGGGAAAAATCATAAAAAAATGGGGAAAATCAGAATAAAATGGGGATAAAATCATAAAAAAATGGGGAAAAATTATAAAAAAATGGGGAAAAATCATTAAAAAATGGGGAAAAATCATTAAAAAATGGGGAAAAATCAGAATAAAACGGGGAAAAATCACAAAAAAAGGGGAAAACGGCTGGAAAGTTCTGGAAAATTCCGGATTCTGACC